GGAGGCTGGCAGAGCTGCCCCACCCAGGCCGCCTGAAGGATGGCTCTTCTCCCAGGGCAGCATCAGGGGGGTATCACATCACAGGGCTGAAATTGTCCAGCTGTGGGTGGGGGGCAGAGACAGGGAGGAGCCCATGGCTATGGAATTGGCCGGGAAGGGGTCTGGGGCTTCACGGGGAGGGTCTCCAGGCGAATGCCCCAGGCCGGGTCTGCTCCTACCTCCCCCCCCCTCCCCCGTGCAGGTGGCCTACTCCCCTTGCAACCAGCCCCCCACCCCCCCCTTTCCGGCCCAGCCCTGTACCCCGGCACCCACTTCATCTTCTGCTGCATGGCGGCCGATGTGCGGTGTCCCTGCTTGAGCCGCTCGTACTCCTTGTAGCTGCGGTAGTACTGCTGGATCAGCACGGCGGCCCGGCGGCTCTGCCGGAACTTCTTCTGCTCGTAGTAGCTGCGGAACTTGCTCTGGATCAGGATGGCCGCCTGCGTCATCTTCTTGTAGAGGGCGTACTGGGAGGGAGGGAGGGGGGAGAGGAGGGGTGGGTGCCGGGACTCGTCTCCCACCTGCCAATCCCGGAGCACCCACAGCCTTCCCCTTCAAAGGCTGCCGGGGGGAGGGGGGGATGACATCCCACTGTCCCCAGCCCCCAAGAGAGGTTTGGGCTCCCCAGAGGCAACCGACGTCCCCCTTCAGGAGCCCTAGGGGGTTTCTGGGAGTGGGGTGGGGCGTGGGACAGGGAGAGGATCCTCACCCTTTCAAGGAAAACACTTCAAAGACAAAACATGGACCCCTCCCACTTTGCCCCTATCCAGCCCCCACCCCCCAGGTGGAGCCGAGATGCCCCTCCCTGGGCTCACCAGAGCCCCCCCCCCAGCAAAGAGGGAGTCTCCATTTCCCAATCACAGCTTGCTCTTCCTCAGGAGGAGGAGGAGGAGGAGGAGGAGGAGGAGAGAAACCCCTCTCTCCCAGACTCCTCCTCTTCCAGAGGCCTCTCCAGCCCCACGTGCCTCCCCTCTTTCCCATGCCGGGAGTGGCCCCTCCCCGGGGCCTCTGAGCAAGGGCCCCACTTCCCCACGTTACCTTCAGGGCAATCCAGGTCAGCTTGCAAGACAGAGAGAGGCAGCAGGTTAGTTGGGGGGCGCTTGCAAGTGTGTGGGGGAGCCTCCCGGGAGGCTTGGAGGGGCCGGAGATGGGGCTGACCCCCAACGGAGCCCTACCTGCTTGTACTTCCGGTAGCACCGCTGGATAACAGCCGCCGCCAACTCCTGCTGCTCCTTCAGCCGACGGCCCTGCGGAGGGGGGGGGGGACACCAGGACAAGAGGGGGGGGATGTCAGCCCCGATTCTCCCCTCTCCCCAGCAAGGCTTCTGCCCACCCTCCCGAGTACAGGAAGTCCTTGACTTGTAACGTTTCCATTGTAAGCGAGACCGTCGTTAAATGAGTTTGGGTGATGTGCCCCGGCCGGGAGGCTCACCTTGTACTTCCGGAAGGCCGTCTGGATGATTCGGGCGGCCTCGTAGAGCTCCCGCTGCTCGTGGTCGGAGAGGGTCAGCAGGGCAAAGTCGCTCTCCATCTTCCCGTTCCCCGAGGCGTTGAGGAACTCGGCCCAGCTGGCAGCGGTGGGAGGCGGAGGGAGGCGCTCGAGGGACAGCTCCGCCAGGGGGGACTGCAGGGGGCTGAGGCAGGAGCGCCCGGGGGGCGAGGGGGCCAAACCTCTGGGAGGCAGAAGGGGAGACACCGGCATGAGCCCCTCTTCCCAAAACCTCACCAGCCTCTCCCCCCCCCCCTTGCCCCCTCCCGAGCGCCCGGCAGAGCTACCGGCGTTGGGGCAGGCTGGGTAGCTGGTCCACGTTCTCCAGGTAGCTGGCCAGCCAGGACATGGTCTCGTTCAGGCCCATGTTGCTGGGCCGCTCGCGGAGAGGCGCCTCGGCACAGCCAAAATCCTCCTGCTTGATGCGCTCCGGCGTGGCCTCGATGATCTGCTTGGCCAGCGTCATCACGTCCACCTGCAGGGCCACAGGGGTGGGGGGCAGGGGGAGAATGGGGCAGGACGGGAGATGAGGACCAGGCACCCTGTGTAGGGCAGGCTGATGCAGCCGTTCACGTTAAGGGCGTCCACTGGGGTGGGGGGTTAGGCTTAGGGTTAGGGGGAAAAGGCGCAGACCCAGGGCTGCTTCCCTGCACTGCTGAGGCTCACCCGGAGCCCCCCACCCATGGGGCTCTGCCTGGGTTTTCCCACAGGGCCACTGCAGGAGGCAGGTGGGTTTCTGGGTGGAGGCAGCGGAGTTGCCCCCGGACCGGACAGGGAAAGGATGGCCAACCGCTTCCCCCCTCCCGGATGCGGACCTGCAGGACGTCCGTCTCCGGCAGCTGCTCCTCGTTCTCGGCGTTTTCCCCGTAGGCCAGCAACTCCGGCTCCAGCTGAGCTTCGGGGCCCCTCAGGGGTCCCATGGTGGCCCCCTCGCCATAGTTGAGGAAGAAGGAGGCAGGCGGGAGGCCAGGAGGGCTGGTGGCTTCCGGCAAGTACCAGCCCTCCAAGCTGCCAGGGGGCAGGCCCTGGCAGACGTCCATGGCTCCCTCGGCTTCGGGGCTGTAGGCCGGCGACTCCCGGAGGGCTGACCCGCTAGAATAGGCCGAGGTGACGGAGAGGGAGCCTTCCGAGCGCTCCGAGGGGGAGGAGACCCCGCTGGCTGTGCTGAGCCCTGGGGAGAGAGGGGGAGTCGGGGGTTCAGTGGGCACTGAGCATCGCTGCAGGCCGCTCCCCCGAGGGAAGGAAGCCCCCCCCACACCTGTGTCTGGGCTGGCCGAGAGCGGGGAGGGGACATGCAGCCCCTCCGTGGGGTGCTGGAGGCCGACGACGCAGGCCTTGCCGGCCGACCCGGGTACATCCGCCGAGGGCTCTAGATGTTCGGGGAGGGCCTCGTCCTGGTGCTGCAGTTCTTCCAGGCAGGTGGCCAGCTTGACGTGGCCCCGCGAACGAGCCACGGTGAGTGGCAGGCGGCCCAAAGAGTCGGGGATGGCCAGAGCTTGGCTGTTCCACCGGTAGAGCAGCTGGGCTGCCTCCAAGTGGCCGAGGGCGCAGGCCCACATCTGGCGGGGGGGAGAGAACAGGAATGAGACCCCCCGGCCGAGGCAAAGCAGCAGGGGTGGATTCCAGCTTCTTCGACTGGCGATTCGCTTAATGCGCACTATGTGCACATGGGCAGTAGTAAAAAAAAACCAAGATGGCGCCCCTGAGAGAACCAGTTGAGGGGCGTGGCCGCCTGTTGCTACCAGTGCGAACCGGTAGGCGCCCACCTCTGCCCCCGGATGGATCTGGCTTCCTCTCCTGCCCCCCCCTCCCCGCTGTCCCCCGGGAGGCTCTCACCAAGGGGGTGCAGGAGAAGTGATCCACGTTGAGGGGATCCACCTCTTGCTCCAAGTCCAGATTCTGGGCGTTGAGACTCCTGGGGGAACCGAGAGAAGCCGTCACGCCAGCCCTCGCTCTCCCCAGCAATGGTCTTCGCCCCCCCCCCCGACTTCAGAGGGTGGTCGACGTTTGGCAGGCTGGACCTGGGCAAGCGGCAGGTTTTATCCGAGCACCTACGGGACCTCGTCAGGTAGGGAAAGGCCGGGACCTGCCACGCTGCGTACAGAGACCCGGGTGGCCCTGCTGGGACAGAAGACCCGTCCAGGGGAAGCCCCCCCATGGCAGCATCCCCCCCACTGAAGACTCGTGGGGCTTCCCAGCAGGCCTGCAATGGACTAGCCGGGGGTCACCCGAGAGGACCTGCAGGGACTCCGGAACCAACGATCCAGGCTCCCTGCCACGCGGATTCCTTTTCCCTCCTGCCGAGCTCCGATTCCCGCATTTCAGAACGGAGAAGATCCAGCCATACCCAGGCAGGCCTGGACTTACGACCGTTGTGGAGCCTCCTGACCACCCCGCTTGTACGTTGGGACCGTAGTAAGATGGGGACGGTTCAATCTTTCTCCCACGGTTGTTAAGCAAACCAGGGATTCAGTGCGAGTTTCGCCGAAAACCAGAAATCATGGCGGGTTTTTCAGCCAAACCGTCGTAAAACAGGGCCAGGTGTCCACAGCTGCCACAAAGGGATGTTTGGCCACGTGATCGTGGGGGAGGCGGCTTTGGCCGTCAGAACTTGGAATGGCCACTAAGCAACTTAGCTGATAGATAATCTATTTATTTGTTTAAATTATTGGTTTTTTATTAATAAAAACTAAATTTATTGACCCGAGAGAAGGCGCTGTAGCCCCCTCAGAATTCCTCTCCCTTAACGCCCCCCCCCCTTCCTAGCCTGCCTCCCCTCCTGGGGGCTCCTAGGTGGAAAGGAGGTTTCTGGGCAAGAGACCCCAGCGAGCCCTGGGCTTTCTGGGCGGGGGGGACTCACCGCCACTTGATGAGGGTCTCGATGAGGCGGGTGTAGCCTTGGGCGGCCGCCAGGTGCAGAAGGGTCATCCCTCGGAAGCTGACGTGGTGCACAAGGGTCTCCGAGCGAAGCCACGACTGCGAGAGCATCATCTTCTCACAGACGGCCACGATGCGCTCCTCAAAGGAGTCGGAGGCGGCCTGGTGTGGGTGGGGAGGAGGGGGGTGAAGAGTGGCTCCCCCCCCAAGGCGCCACATCTCCCACCCAAGCCACACGGCCTCCCGAGACCCCCCCAGCTCCCCTGCCCCACGCGTGGCCACAGCCCCCTCCCCAGGTGGTGGGAGGGACAAGGGGTGGGCTGGCATTCCCTGCGGACGGCTGAAGCCCCCCAGCTGAGGGAGAAGTGAGGAGTGGGAGGCCGTATTCCTCAAAGGCGCCCTCAGGCCTTGGTGGGCAGTGGGCACCCTGTCCCTGAGGTGCCCTTCAGCTCCTAGGCCAAGACCATGCCCCCCTGCCCCCCCCCCGGCTGCCTTACACCTGTCCGTTCTGCCAACTCTACCAGGACCCTGCTGCCTGGGGATGATGGCTTGTGTAGTGCCCGCTCTCCTCTGAGTAGCCAGGCTGAGGTAGGCTGTGCCCCTCACCCAGAAAGGCTCCACGCGGTGCCCCCGCCCTCCGGCCAAGCGGCTGATCTCAACGGAAAGAATTTGGGGCCATTGGGCGGTCGGGGGGGGGGGAGTGGTGGTGGGGCCAGATGCCTTCCCCCCTCCCTAATCCCACCCAGAGGCCGCCTGGCCTTATCTCCCCAGCCGGCCAGCCGGGCAGCTCCAGAATAGCTGGGCTGGCTGGCCACGCAGGTGCCAATCTCAGCGAAACCCGAGNAGTGGCCAAGGTTGGAGACCCCTGCTTTAGCGGAGAATGGGGATTGAGTTCCCCCCAGTCACTAGGCCCTTGAAGGCCAGGTGGGAGGGTCAGAGGCCAGGGGCCGCGGGAGACGGAGGGCCCACCACCCTCGTTGCCTGGCAACCCCCCCCCCCCGGGGGTTCCGGAAGGAGGCTGAGGCCGTCGGCCGGAGTCTCTGTGCGTGGGCACCCATGGGGCGAGCGGCAGGCTGGGCTGTGGGGCTCCTCATGAACTGCACTCTCTGGCGCCTCGGCTGGTCGCAGCGGCCCGGCTGGTACTACGGGGGTCTGGAGGCCCCCTTTGGGAAGAGCCTGGACCCCTCCCAGGTGCCCGGGGGCTTTGCCCTCAATAGCCAGGGGCTTCTCTGGTACGCCTACTGGCTGATCATCAGCATGCTGGGGGTCATCGCCATCTCCTCCGTCGGCCTCGGCCTCCAACAGATGCTCCGGGCCCAGCAGGTAAGGCCCTCCTGGGAGGGGGGTGGGTGGAGGAGGAGCGCCCCCCCAACTCCCACGGCACCCATCCCTTGGCCTAGGAGCCCTGGGCAGGGTCTCCAGCTAGCCCCCCTCCCCTTTCACTTGCCCCGCTCTCTCCGGCACCGAGACCCCCAGCGAGGCAGGGGTGAAGGGACGCTGATTCCGGCCGGTTCAGCCGATCCGGTAGTCAAAAATACTTTTTAAAAAGGGGGGGGGGGAGTTCCGACGATCACCCATCGCACAACCAAAACCGGGGTGGGGTCTGTTTTTGCTCCCAGCAAGCTTCCCTTAAGCCTTAGGCCAAAACGGGCAGTACGAGGCCACTGAGAAAGAGAGAGAGAAACAGAAGGAAAGAAAGAAAGAAGAGAAGGAAAGAGAGAGAGAAAGAGAGGGAAAGAAGAAAGGGAAAGAAAGGAGAAAGAAAGGGAGGGAGGGAGGGAAAAAGGAGAGGAAGGAAGGAGTAGAAACTTGGCATTAGACGCAGCTTCAGAGGATAATCCAGGGCTGGAAGGCACCTGGAGGTCATCTAGTCTGACCCTGCTCCAGCAGGGCATTGTTAAAAGTCTGTATTTCGATCCCCCAGTTACATGACTATATAACCCCGCCCAGCCAGTCACATGACCTCCGCCAAGCCCCGCCCACAGATCTGGTAGTAAAAAGATTTAGACTTCACCAGGAGCCCCCTCCCCGTGCAACCGAGAAAGGGGGGAGATTCAGCTCAGGCCCCCCCAAGAAGAGGCTCCCCCCCCTCCCGCAAACCTCCCGCCTCTTCAGCTCTTGCAGCCCTCAAAGCAAAACCGGCCGGTGGAACTCCCAGCCACAAGGATCCTCTCTCAACCTCTTCTGCATTTCTCTCTCTCTCTGCCCAACTCTTGAGACCCTCCTGGCTGCTTCTGCCCAGTTAAAAGGGTCCCATCAAGCCATGATGAAGGCGCGTGAAGTACGTGGCACCCTGCCACCCCCTCCCCAAATTCTCAGGGAGGCCTGGAAGACTATAAGGCAGTCTTTCTCAACCTTGGCCAGCTTGAAGTCCACCGGACTTCAAGTTGGCCAAGGTTGAGAAAGACTGCTGTCAGGCGTCCCTGGGGGAAAGGCCAGGCAGGGGGGCCCTGCTCCTTCCTCAGCCCCCAGCCTCTTCTTCCTCCTCAGAACCCAGGGAAGGAGGAGGAGGAGGCAGCCCGGCACGTCGACCCAGAGGAAGCCGCCTTGATAGACGCGCTGCACCTGTTGGATGCCGTGTTGGAGAAGACTTGGCACCACATTCGCCGCCTGGAGAGGAGACAGAGGAGCCGCAGAGGGACATGATGGAATAAAGAGACCCCCCCCGAGACACCGCTGGCCCCACCGAGCTTTTCTCCCCCCACCCCTCGCCCACCCTCGGCAACAGGGGGATGGGTGTGGCCCCTGGGCCTCCAGCAAGCAGGGGAGGGCCCCCCGAATCCGTGGGGCAGAAGGGAGAAGCCGTGATTTAGTTGATCAAGGGTCCCCAGCTGGTAACCCACCCCAATCTTGCTTTCAAGGGGAGCAGCTCCGGGGGGGGGGACTTTGGGGGGCTGTTCAGGGACCCACGGCTTGACCCACCCCCACCATGCTCCAATTTCCAGGCGCTTGTGGGGTTCCCAAAGTTTTAAATCAGGGCTGTCCAAACTTGGGAACTTTTTAAGACTTGCGGACTTCAACTCCCAGAATTCCCCAGCCACCAAGTTTGGACAGCCCTGGTTAAATGCTCTTGAATTTGCAGTGGGGCCAGAGGGGATGAGGGTGAGGAGAAAGTGGGGGAGAGGCCCCCACAAAACTTGGAATGGGGGGGGGNGCGCCTGCCACGGGCATCGGGGCACTGGGTGGGCAAAAGGAAGCCTCTTTCCAGATTTCCTTCCCCAGACAGGCGGCCAAAGCACTCGGCCTGCCCAGCCAGGGCTTGGCGTCCAGCTGCTGGTCAGCCGGAGCCTCCTGGGGACGGAGGGGGAGGAGGAGGAGGAGGCTGCTGGTCTGGCGCTTCTGAGCAGCCCCTGCTGGTGGTCAGAGCAGGCCCAGCACAGCCACCGGCTCTTGACGGCTCGGCCGGCCGGCCATTCGGAGCTCCCCACTCCAGGAAGAGAGGACAGGGGGTCCTTGAGTTACCACCGCAATGGAGCCACAAAATGGGCTGCTCACAGGATGGACCCAATTTTGCGACCCTTTTTAAACCTTGGTTAAGCGAAGCCTTTGTTCGGGGCCTCCACACAACCAGGCCACCTGAGCAGGGGGTTGGTGCACACCCGAGGGGCGTGCCTGAGGGCTGCCCCTCCCTCACACAAAACCATCTCTTCTCCCCCCCCCCAGACCCCCCATGCTGTGCTGGGGGACAGGTGAAAGGCTGCTGTTTTGGCAAACCTGTTATAAAATGTCACCCCGTTGACTGTGGGAGCCCACAAACCACGGTAAAGGTGGCCTGGCTACCCAGCCCTTCTGGGGGGGGGGGGGTCTTGTGACCTGGGGGAGGGTCTGAGCGTTGGAATTTCGACTCCGGGTCATAAATCCACGCCAGGTAGGTCAATCAGAACTTTGAAGAGTTCCTTAGTGACTCGTCTTAAGTCAAGGACCGGTAGGTTCCCTCCCTCCACGAAGAACCCCCAAACCCATCATCCTGCGCTTGCTGTGGTGGCGTAGGGGCTAAGAGTGCAGTTGGGCGGATGGAATCTCAGATTGGCTCAGCCTTCCGTCCTTCCGTGGTCCGTAAAATGAGGAGCCAGGCTGTTGGGGTGGGGGCAAGAGGCTGACCCTGGAATCACTTAGAGACGGGAGTGTGGGGCCCTCGTGGAAGCGACCCGTGAGTCGAAGGGCTCCCGCCGTTGTCGCTGTGCCCGTCCCACCCCGTCCCTCCTTACACATGGGCTTCAGCTGGCCGACCAGGTCCTCCTTCGACCACTTCAGCCACTCCTTCCGGTCACTGTTGATGGAGCACAGGATGGGGCTGCAGATCTTCCCACAGTCCTCAATGGCCGGGACGTTCAGGTAGTGGACCAGGACGATATCCGGGTTCTGCAGGGGGGGGGGGGAGCAGAGGAGCCGATCTTGTTAAAAGAGGGGAGGATTCCCCTAAGCCTTGAATCCTGGTTCCCTTCCCGCATTCCCGCTCTCAAACTGGAACTGGGGTGGGTGGGTGGGTGGGGAAGCGAAGCCTTGGGGGACTCCCCAGCCCAAAAGAGGATAATAATAACTGGGGAGTCCTCAAAAGACGACCTGTCAGGCCCCCAAAGCAAGAATAACCCTGACGATTCTTCCGACTTCTTCATTGCTTGAAACCTGCAGACAGAATCTTGCCGGATTGAAGACTCGAAACTCTCTGCCTTCAGATGGACTCTGGGAACTATTAAGGAGCAGCTGTCCTCAACCTCTTTCTCTTGTAGTCCCTATCTGGGCTGTTGCCTCTTCCTCCTCGGGAATGGACCCCTCCCCTCCAAGGGATCCCCCTCCTCACGGCAGTTGGTCACATATCAAGAGTCATGAGAAATGAGGGGCCTCTCTAGGGAAGGCCAAGCAGACCCCCCCCAAGAGGAGCAGGACCCCAGACCCCCCATATTTCTCAAAGAATTTATGTGTTTTGGACATTTTTCTCCTGCAGTCCTTGGTATGGTAAGTAAGCAACAGTGAATAAAAATGTTTCCTAAAATCATCTTTTGTCCTATTAAAGCAGGGGCAACTTGGTAATTTTAATTTTAAAAAAATCATTTTTATTTTTAAACATAAAAGACAACATTAAAATAAAAATTCTCATCCATTACATACAATTTTAAGACTTGGGGACTTCAACTCCCAGGATTCCTCAGGCAGCAGAGCTACCTGGGGGATTCTGGGAGTTGAAGCCCACAAATTGGAGACCCCTAACCCTAACCCTTAGCAACGTTCAGGGGTGCGGGCTTGAACTCCCGGAGTCCCCCCCGCCCAGCATCCTGAGATTGGCAAACGCCACCTTAGCCTTTCAGGGCCCAATTGGATTTTTCAGCCGAAATGAAGGCAGCCGTTCCGAAATGCAGGGGACCAAGGAGAGGGTGGAAGCTCACCCCTTGCTATCATCCTTCTGGAGACCCCTCCCCACCCCATTCCTCCAGGAAAGCCCAGCTCAGCAGCCGCAGGGAGACCTACCTGCAGGAGCCAATAGCAGCGCCGGTGGAATGTCGGGACGATGGACGAATGGACGTAGCAGCCGTAGAGACACTGGGGGAGGCAGCAAAGATTTGTTTTTTTTTGGGGGGGGGGCTTTCCTCCCCTGAGTCAGACCCCAGCACAGATAGTTTAGTGGACCGTTCAAAGTTACGACGGCACTGAGAACCTTCTGGTTGTTTTGTTCACACCTACCGCCCGTTGCAGCATCCCCACCTAACCAAAAGGTTGGCAACCGACTCGTATTTATGACGGTCGCGGTGAGCAAAGTCAACGGGGGGAAGCCAGATTCACTTAACAGCCACGGGATTCTCTTAACGACGACGGGGAAAATCATAAAAGGGGGGGCAAACCTCCCTTCACCGAAGTTTTGCTTAGCGATGGGAAATGTTGAACTCAATGGTGGTCGTAAGTCAAGGACCACCTGTAAACCCCTCCCCACCCCCCACTCCCGGGGCCGGATCCTCCTCTCCGCCCCTGGCCTCTGCAGCCCCCTTGAAAGAGGGACCCCGGAAGGACCCCCAACCTTCCTCCTTGCCCAGAGAGTGCCTGGGGCCTCTGCAGAGGGGGAGGGGGGCTGCAGGGGGGGAGGGGTCCTACCTCCACCCCTTTGACTTTCAGCTTCATGTGGTCCTCCCGCGTGGTCTTGCCGTCCTTCCTCTTCTTCCAGCAGTAGCCGTCCTTCCGGTATTTCACCTTCTTGCGGTTGTACAGGATGAGGGAGCCGTTCTGGGGTCTGCCGGGGGAGGAAGCCCTGGGCAGCAGGTCTGCAGGGGCCAGGTCTGCAGGGGCCCCTGGGGGCCAGCAGGGCAGGAAGCCCCTGGGGGTGCAGCCCCTCGGGGTCTCCATCTGGGCAGCAGGGGACTCTCCACTCTGCCAAGGCCGGAGGGGGCAGCCAAAGAGGGTCCGGCATCTTGTAGCCCACCTTGCGGGAAGTGTCCAGCTGGGGTGGAGGGGACTAGGACCCTCACCCATTTTCGCAGCCCCCCTGCAAAGCTGCTTTGCCACTCCTGTATGCTGGCATTTGGGGGGGGGGGTTGTTCCTCTCATCCTTTAAATTTCCTTTCCTTTCATCCGTTAAATGTGCATTTCTGCAGCCGAAAGTGGCTTGGACCAAACCAGCAGAAGTGGGCAGGTGGTGCTGGTTGCCGCCCCCCCCCCCCCAAGAAGGGATTTCAGGCCCCCGAAGCACCAGCTGCATCTGCTCCACGGGGGACGGGTGGGTGTGCGGGGCCTCTGGCGAAACCGCCCCCCCGCCCCGGCCTTGAGGCAGCAGGGACCGGCCCCTTACCTGGTCTTGGGGGAGCCCGAGAGCCATTCCTCATGTTTCTCAAAGGTGATCAGGTACGAAGCGATCTCCTGCGAGAGAGATCCAGAGTGACCCCCCCCTCAGAGACAGCCCCCCCCTCTTGGGAAATGCCCACCAGGGGCCGGACAGACAGCAGAGGGCCAGGCCAAACTCAGGGGGGGAGATAACCTAAAAAAAGAAAGACCTGGAGGGATCCTTCCCTAAAAACCAGAAGAGGCTGGGACCCTCCCCATTGGGAAGCCCCTGGCATCGGCTACTCCCCCCTCCCCACATTCTGCATTTCTGTCAATTCCGTTCTTGCGACCCAAGAAAGCTGCTGGGGGGGGGACCGAGGCGCCAGGAGGGCCGAAGTCTCTTGGGCAGGCCGGGAAAAATTTGAAATTTAATAAATTTGTATGCCCCCCAATCCCGTAGGACTCTGGGCGGCTTACAGAAACGAGATAAAAAAAATTTTTAAAAATAAAAAATTAAAATACAGTTATTAAAATTACAGACCATCCATTCTGTCTAGGTGGGGCTAATCGTAAAAGCAGGCCCCGTGCCCCCTTCCTCACTATGAACCACCCCCCACCCCTGCCAGGTGCCCTGTTCCCTGGACCAGCCTCCGAGCACTCGGGGCAAACCAGGGCTTGGTCCAACGTGGTCCAACGTGGGCAAGAGAGGCTGGAGAGAAGGGGGCAGCCCTCCCCCGGGCGTTTAGAGGTGACCAGGGCAGGGGGAGGAAGCAACGTGTGTCCAGTCCTCCTACTGATGGTCTTATCGAAGGTCGACGGGAAACTGAAGGACCCTGAAAAACAAGGAGCCCACCCCCCACCCTCGGCACTTAAGGGAGCCTCGCCTAAGGACGGAGCCCCTGGGAAGGGGGGGAGTGTCCCTCGGGGCAAGCAGCATCCCAGGCTCTGAAGCAGGCCTCTCCAACCGGGGCAACTTTGAGCCTGGCGGACTTCAACTCCCAGAATTCCCCAGCCGGCTTTGCTTGGAATCCTGGGAGGTGAAGTCCTCCAGGGCTCAAAAGTTGCTGCCGTTGGAGAGGCCTGGCCTAAAGGCAGAGCTGGGGGTGCAGGAGAAAAGGGGGCTCTTGGTCTGCAGGCTTCCCCAAAAATGCCCCCTGAACTTACGACCGCAACTGAGCCCGAGCAGACAGTTGTGAAGTGGGTTAGCCCCACTCTGCAACCTTTCTTGACCACCGTTGCTAAGCGAATCACTGCAGTTGTAAGTAGCTTGGTTGTTAAGTGGCTCCCCTCCAACCCTGACTTAGAGGGGATCACGTGACCCCGGGACTCTGTGACCCTCATAAATATGAACCAGTGGCCAAGCGTCTGAATTTGGATCACGTGACCCTGGTGCAACGGTCATAAGTGTGGGAAACAGTCACAAGTCACTTTTTTTTCCTGACTAGACTAGACTCAACCCCTGGTCGTAACTCAAGGACTGCCTGGTATTCCTTCCAGCCAGCTCAGAGCCCTGATGGGAACGTTGGCGCACCTCCAGCACCCCCAGCTGCCCCCCCACCTTGGGCAACCTCTGGCCAGAGGGCCTTTCAGGCTCCAGCAGCCTCTGAGCCGGGAGCAGAATCCTGACCCCCCACCCACCCCCCAAGACTGCCCTGAGTTGGCACCCGGGAGCCCTTGCCTTCTCCGGCTCCCCTCCCAAGGCCGCCCAGGCTGATCCCCCCGGATGCCGGGGCTCGAGCCAACTTTAGGGCCTGTGAGGACCAACCTCTGACCCGCCGTTCAGTGGGAAACCCGGCGTGCCCTGATCTCGGAGCGAGGGGCCAGGCGGCCGCAGCCCCCTTCCGCAGGGCACCCGGCCCGTAACGTGCAGGAGGACGGGCGACCTCTTAGAGCAGAAACCCCCCCCCCTCTCCGGCCAGCACCCACCTCCCTCGCGGGAAATGCCAATGCGGCACTAATAACGTGAAGGCCGGGCCCTTCCCCGAGACCAAACAGGGCAGAAACCTGCACAGGAAGCGGCTGCGTGTGAGGGAGGCTCCGGGATGCTAGAAGGGGGGAGGCAGGAGATGCCAGCCAACAGAAAGCACAAATGGTGGCCGTTGGCAGGAAAGAGGCCGGGAAGGGCGGGCAGAGCCAGGCCAGAAGGGACCAGCGGGCACAACGGGCGGAGTCAGAATTTCTCTCCAGAGGAAGGCAAAAAGGATGAAGAAGATGTGCAGGAGGGCTGGATAATATGTGGGAGGGGGCCCATTTGGCTTCCCCCCACCCACCCGGGAGGAACTACCACCCCCACTTCAGGAATGCTGCCCTGGGCTCCTTTTCCATGCCCGGTTTCTAGGATGCCGCTCTTCCCACCCCCCAAAAAAAGAGGGCATCAGTGTGGTTTGTTCCTTCCAGATCCCAAATAGCCCCTTGCAGGAGACCCTTCCCTGTTTTTATGCAGAAATACACAGATTAGAGTGGGGCTCACATCCCCCCCCCTCACTTACCACAGGCCTTGCGCTGGGCTAATGGGCGAAGGGAGCCCCTTTTTAAAAAAACGGGCCTATTTGGGTTGGGCGATGGGCTTAAAAGAGGGGAGGGGGCTCCCTCCTGGCCACAGTCAGTGCCACCCAAGCGCAATCTGACCTCAGAGGCTGGGGGGAGAAAACCTGCAGGGGGGGGAGGCTCAGGGAACAGGGTCCTGGGTCCTTAGGGGCTACGCAGGGGTCCTGCGGTGGGGGTCCCGAGAGGAGGGCAGAGCCCCCCATCCAGAGGGGCCCTTCCGTACCTCCGCCTGCCTGGTGGACGAGGCAGTTTTTCCCAGCCCACCCGGGACGAGCCAGACCCCAGGACGGGTTCGGGGTTCGGCAGCAGCTGCAGCCTGCGCTCCCCACGCGCCCACCCACCCACCCGGCGCCCCTACCTCGTTGGTGTTCCAGCGCAGGCGCTCCTTGGGCAGGGCCGGGCACTTGGGCACGCTCTCCACCAGCTTCTTGGGCAGGAAAACCTTCAGGTGGTGGCTGTTCTCTGCGGGAGGGAGGGAGGAGGGGGACACGGAGGCGGTCACCCTCCCCGGGAAGACTCGGAGATGCGCCAGCAGGGGCGGGGGGCGAACGCCCGTCTGCGCGAGGGTCGCTCGGGGGTCCGGCCGCCCCCTGCCCTCCCCCTCCGGGCGGCTCCCTCCCGGCCCCTCCCCGTGGGAAAGGAGCGGGGCCCCCTCCTCGCCCCTCCTCCGCTCCCAGGCTGCCCGCGGGCCGAGACCCCCGACTCACCGGAGACCTCCGTGGCCGCCTTATTCATCTTCGGGGCGGGCGGGGCGCTCAGAGGGCTCTGCCGGGCAGCCTCCACGCGAACCAGCCTGGGGGGCGGCAGCAGGGCGTCAGCGGCGGCGGCGGAGGGGAAGCGGCCCCTTCTCGGACACACCGGCAGCCCCC